GTGTGTGTATGTGTGTGTGTGTTTGAATGTGGATTGGTGAGGAAGGCTAAATAAATGTCTTTGTTTGGATTCTCTAGAAGAGCAGTATCAGTGGAATGACTAGAGAGAGAGGCTTCCTTTGAGGGCTTGGCTCACGCCGGTGTGCGTTGCTGTTGGTAGATGGTGTGAACTTAGTGCTGACTCACGGTGACCCTGTGCACACCCTGTGCACAGCAGAATGAAGCCCAGCTCAGTGTTGCCCCATCTTAACGATCTCTGCTGTGCTTAAGCGCATTGTTCCACTCACTGTTGTTGTTTTTTCCTTTTTTTAATTTTTATTGTATTATTTTTATGTGTACCGTCAAATCAGATCTGACTGGTACAGGAGGAGATTGCCCCCTCCTTCTCCAGCAGAGCATCTGGTAGATTTGAACCGCATACCTCTGGGATTGCAGTGCAGCGTCTTGCCACTAGGATACCAGAGCTCCCTTTCCACTCACTGTTTGTAGAGGCTGGTAAATCTTAAATCAGTATGTCAGGTGGGAGGATCGAAACTTCTTCTCTAGTTAGGGTTGCAAAGGCCGGTGACTCTAAAATCTGCAGATGAGTAGAGACTTCTGCTGAGTTTTCTCCCCAGCCAGAAGTTAGGCTCCTAGAAAAGTGCAGGACAGAAAGAACACACAAACTTCACCAGAACATCCATTGATATACTGGAGACAGGCTGCCTTCCAAGGACTCTCTTCTTTCAGCTGATTGGCTGATCACTTCCTATCACAGACTGGAAAGTGATTACATTATGGAAGAACACCCAGTGCAGTGTTGACTAAACTACTGAGAATCTTCACCATGCCATCAAACTGACACATAGCATTAATCATCACACTATAACTAGGATCAAAATGTTGAAGATGATTCTTAGGTTAATAAGGGTAGAAAATAGAGAACACAGACTTTTGAGAAAAAGAATGGGCTTTGTGGGATGTGCAGGTAGGTATATATAATAGAGAGTAATTTGATTCTGGAAGAAAAACCTGGTGATATACTTCTGAAAATCAGCTAATGAAAGTCTCATGCTTCACAACGGTTTGATCTGAAAACCGTCAAGCAAGTGGCATAAGATCAGTCAGTATTCATTCCTTGGTGCATCGGCTATCCCTGAACGTTGGGCTGAGTCAATGGCAGCTAACAACAACATCAACAATGTAAGTGGAGAACTAAAGGGAGGGGACTAAGTTGAGAGATCTCAGTTTCTTAAAAGTAAATAAAGTCACAGCTCAGATTGAAGATACTTAAAACTTAATAACCTACCTAGGTTGCATTGTGTTCAGCCCGGTTGTCAGAGCTCCGATGTCTGCTCAGAGCTTACAAGGTCCATCTTATTAGACTCATTCATTTACATGTGTTTTTTAAAAATAATCTTTTATTGTGTTCTTGGCAGTGGTATACACACCACTCTAAATTCTCATCGAACTGTTTGTAGAAACTGTTGACGGAGAAGCTGTACAGCTCTTTACAATCAATTTCCACACAAATTGTTCAGTAGCATTGGTTACATTCTTCACAATGGACATCCTCAGACTTTCTGTCCTAGTCGTTCTGATTCCTTACATTCTTAATCTTTGTTTTAAAGCATTTGTTGACCTTGTGGGTTTCTATGTGTTTTTGAGAATTGTTAATGTGTTTTAGTGCATGGAATCTCTGTTTTGTCCACTTCCTTAGTTCCACATTTGCCAGGGCATTTTAATTGATTGATTGTTTCCTCTAACATTTGATTGATTCTTTCAATTTAGTGAGGGCTTACTAAATTTCAGTCACCTGAGACATAATTGTATACAAAGTAAACACGTGGAGACTGTGGTTTTATGTGATGTGGAAATTTCTCAGCATGCTTTGAGCCACGGTAGAGAAGTCACGGATAGGGTGGAGAGACCGGGGAAAGTGGAATGTTTCAGACAGATAGGAAACTGTGTAATGGTTCATTGCAAAAAGGAGTACTGCATGGCCATAGATTCACTGTGGCTGAAACATGGTCAAAAAGGGATGAGCCCATGTGGAAGCAGGACACATTTTTTTAGCCATGTTAAAGATCCTTAAACTATTTATAAAGAAGACTATGGAGAATTTAAAGTAAAATATGAAGGAGTCAGATTTGATTTGTGTTTCAAAATCATAGTTTCTCCTATAAAGAAAGTGGCTTTGTGGAGACAAAGTATAGGAGCTCCAGTGACCTAATTTACATGGTATTAAAAGCTGCAAACCAAAAGGCTGTGCATCCTTGGTAGTTCAAATCCACTAGCAGCACACGGGAGATGAACAGTATCCTCCTGTTAAGATTTACAGCCTTGGAAACTAACTTGTTGATAATGACTTTGAAATTGAGGTTTGAAATGTTGAAAAGAAACCAGTTGGGAGGCTAAATTTCAAAATAGTTCAGGCAAGACATATTGGAAGCTGAACCAGGAGGCAGGCATCCAGTGGGCAATGAATGGTTTTCAGAGACGTGTAAGACTTTATGCCTGAGTGCTTGTAGGACGAGGGGTGAAGAACAACCTAACAGTTAATTAGGGTGTGGTTGTACACAACACATCACATCTTAAAGGGACTGCAAAGAAGTAATACCCATGCCTGCCTTTGTTCATGGTCCTTGCTCACTTGCCGTTTGCTCATCCTTGAGGTCACATTACCCCTTCACTTCTTCCTTAAGCTGGCCATCCCTTCCTTTGTCGGTTGGACCATCAAGATTTCTTATTCATAGTGTCCTGGACTAGCTTTCTTTATCTGCCTGACAAATTCCTACTCAGAGCCAACCTCTTTGAAAGAGCTCCGTTCTCTAGGCTTTATGTTTACTTATCATTGTCAGTGGATGGTAAGAACTCGGTTTTATGCATATCATTTTTATCTTACCAATACTAGGAACATTGTCGATAGACCCTCAAAATTAATATACAAATGAATGGCTTATGTTTATTTTATTTTTGTTTAACAAATTTTTTTTTTATAAAGTATTGGCTCATTTAATTTTACTAAAAGCCTGTGAGATAAATCTAGAAACTGGTCTTGAATCTTCTGACTCGTGGCAACATGCCATTGGGTTTCTGAGGCCGTAAATCTTAACAGGACCAAATTGCTTTATTGCTCTCCTAAAGAGCAGCGGGTGGGTTTGAACTGGGAACCTTTTGGTTAACAGACTAATGTAATGCACTGCGCCATCAAGTCTGTCTGAATTTCACATTTGCATTGTCTTTCTGTGAGAGAGCCCTGGTGATAGAGTGAGTTGACTGCTAGCCAAAAGCCGGTGACTTGAATGCACCAGTCTCCGTAGGTGAAACACGAAGTCTGCTCTCCATAAAGTTCAGACCCTTGGCAACCCAGAGGGCCACTTGTACTCTATTCTATGGGATGACTGTGGGTCAGAGTGGACTGGATGGCAGTGTGTTCTGTGAGCTATTGGACATCATTAGTCTTGTTTTGTAGATGAGGAAACTGAGACCCATTGGGCAGTGGCAGAGCTGAGAATCACTCTGAGGCGTTCAGGCTCCAGGACTCTAAGCTATGTTGCTATATCTCCCGTGGTCCAGCTGACTGGACTTACATACACAGCTGGGTGAATGGAAGCTGCAGAAATTACCAGGCAAATCTAGAAGGAAGGGATGTTCCCATAAATGCTCTTTTGTCTCAGAATAGTGAAGGCTGTATTTTCAGTGTAAAGGATTTTCGCCAGAAGGAAGATGTTACATTTCACAAAAAAGGACAAAAGGAAACAAAAATAGTTCGGCCAGATCCAAGCCCACTCTCTCTGTGTTTGAAACTGCATGGCAAAAAAATAGAAACAATCCCTGATGCAGGATGATTAGACAACAATATAACTGGTGAGAGTGGAAGCTGCACTGCCAACCCGAAGGTACGTGGTTTGGATCCACCAGCTGCTCTGTGGTTGAAAGATGGACAATCTCCTCCTGTGCAGTTTACTACCTCTGAAAACCCACTGGAGGGTCAGCTAGGGGTTGGTTCTGACTCACCAGTACACAACAGCAAAACCAATTGGGAGCTCTGGTGGCTGAGCGGTAAGGAGTTGTCCTGTCAACCCAAATGTGAGTGGTTTGAATCCATCTCTTCAGGAAAAAGATGGGCAATCTCCTCCCATGTGATTTACTACCTCTGAAAACCCACTGGAAGGTCAGCTATGAATTGGTTTAGACTTGACAGCTCACAACAACAGTAATATTTCTGGAAATGTGTTGATACATGGCTGTTAAAGTTCATGATAGATGCGAATAGTTAAGATGCTCGGCTGTTAACAGAGAGGCTGGAAAGCACATGCAGACGCACCTGGGAAGAGAGACCTTGTCATTTCTTTAGGAAAAAAATCGGTGATTAAAAACTCCATGGAGCACAGTCCTAATCGGAAGCAGATGGAGTCACTGTGACCCAGAGCTGACTCAGGAGCACCTGGCTTAGTTATGACATCAAGGATAAAAAGTTGTGGATGCCAGTCCATGAGCTCTGGAGGGAGGGTGGTCTGTTTGTTATATCATATGTCATATATTAGGGCAGCAGTCCAGTCCTTGAGCCCGTTTGCTCCCCCTAAGTCAGCACATGAAGTTTGTCTTCATGGGGGGTGGGGCTTGTTCTTGTTGTGACTCCATGTTTTCTGTCTGTCTGCTCTAGTGCACAGACATCCTCTGCTCACATTGCTCCTTTCCCCTCCCTCCCTCTCAAGATTGAGGGGGACCCAGGGAGGGGGACCGTCTTAGCTGTGGGAAGTGGCTCAGCAGAGTCTCCCCTGACAGCAGTATGCAGCCGAGTAATGGTTATAGCCCCATAGTTCTCACGTCACCATTGTTTCTGGCTACACTGTCACTGGCATTAAGACCATTCCCCTTTAAGCATCTGCTGGCTCTTGCAAACTGGCCACCTTTTCCTGTGGAATTATCCATGTTGGTTGGTCTGTGCTGGCGTCTAGCTCTGTTTATGACTGTTGTGTGTATAGAAATCTGACTGATGGCTGGTAATATTTCCAGGTTCCTCGAGACAAGAGGCTGCTGCCTGTAAGTAAAGCAAGTGACAGTCAAGAAGACCAGGATAAAAGGTATGGTGCCATGTAAAGGAATATGCTTGGACACTTAATAACCTTTTATATATTTTTAAAAGAAAAATAACCATATTAAACTATAATTTTATTCCTAAGAGGAGATAGGGGTGTTGAGGCTTAAAAGCCCGTCTTTTTATCAGTCATTTAGGACGTAGACTCAATGATTCCGTCAGTTGTTGTTAGGTGTCATTGAGTCAAATACGACTTGTACTGACCCTATGAACAACAGATCTATCCTGTACCATCCTCACTCTCTCGGATACACTTGAGCCCATTGCTGCAGTCACCATGACAATCCATCTTACTGGGGTCTTCCTCTCTTTTGCTGACCCTCCTTGTTGTGTATCCAAAGACTATCAAATGGCTCTTTAGAAACTTGCTTCTAAGAGGCTTAAAATCCCTAGTGTTAGGGGTGATATATCGCCAAGACAGTGCACTTCTTGGAATAGCTTTTCTGATCAACCCAATGACTGTGAGAAGGTCCTTGATGAACTTAAGTGTCACTTTCCAAAGGGGTGAGAGGAGAGAAAGTAGGTGTTTGGGGCCCAGGGAAGCAGCTGGTGGAGAGCCATAAAGGACGGGGATCACCCTCAGGTGCAGGGTGTAAAAGAGGGTGAGAATGTGTTGTCTAAAACCTTTCTGCACCTCTGACTTAAGAATCAGCTGAGGGAAAAAGAAAACCGACAAAAGAAGGTGACAGTCTTCTGGCTGGACCGGAGGTCGGCTTTATATGTTGAAGGACACTGGCTGTGGAATTTGTAGCTTTGGCTAGATTGAAATAACTGCATTTCCAGACAGTGATGCTCACTGGAACACTGGCCACATATGGGGACGTTATTTTGCTTGTCCTATATTTCAAGTTAAAATCTAAAAAAAGTCCAGCTGTGAAAGCCACATAAATAGGATTCTAAGCTGTCTGCACCTCATCTGCTAATTTGTCATAACTGGAAAAGCTAGCTTAACTTATCATAAAATTTATTAATTTTTATAGTAAATTAGGAACCTGGAAAACCCCCCAACATAGGCAAACTGAGATTAAAAACACATGCACAACTGGAGGATGTGACTTTGAATGTGTAGTTTGTGACTTGAGTTAGATATGTTTCCCCATTCAGTCTATTTAGGCTTCAGGCTTCCCCAAAGGGACAGACCACTTGTGGCATGGCAGTGCGTGACTGGAAAGCCCTTCTCTAGTCAGGAACATCTAGACAAAAAGAGAGGACTGAAGGGACTGGGTAACCCTGTGCTTGGTTACTTTTCTCAAACTTGCCAAACATATAAATCTTTTCCTCCACAAGAATGGAGAAGAACCACAAGTGATTTCCAATTAAAGCTTCTTTCACATGGGAGCAGAAAGAAACATGACTGTATCCCCAATCCCCCCTCACTTCCAGTCCCTGCACCTGTGTTAGAATTTTGCCTCATTGCGAGAGGAGCTGTTTATGACATTATGATCTTGTTATATGATTGGCATCAGGGCATTGGCATCCACTCCCCCAAAGAGCCTTCCTTGGGTTGCACATCACTTCCAAACAGCACCTCCTGTGTCTTTTGATCATTTGAATCTAATTCACCTTTCCAGCAAGGTCTTCTGGTGGCCTCCATTGCCCCAGAGCCCTAGGGCCTTGTGGACACAGAGTGATAACAGAGGAAGAGGCTGACTCTGCAGGTCCTGAATCTTTCTGTGATCCCACCAGTGCCTATGAAGCTAGCTGGTGCTATCTGCTACAGTGAGTCAGGGAAATAGAAGTCATAATAGTTGATTATATAACATGTCACACAATATGCCAAAGAGAGCAATTTTGGTCAAAGCATCTTTTTGAACATCAAATACTAACAGCATCTCACTGTATTTTAATCACTGTTTTTGTGATTTCAGCAGAACATCTTTAAGTATGTGACTGTGGAATACACTACTACCTTGTATAGTTTAGTCATGATTGTACAGAATCCTGGTTCTAGGAATCCTGGTGGCACAGTGATTAAAGAATTTGGCTGTTAACCAAAAGGTTGGCTGTCTGAGTTTCCTAGCCATGCTGTGGGAGAGATATGTGGCAATCTGTTTCAATAAACATTTATATGGCTGTGGAAATCCCATGAGACAGTTCTTCACTGCCCTGTGGGGTTACTGTGAGTCACAATGATGACAATGAGCTTGGCTTTTTTGGTTGAATGTAATTTTGAAGACTATCATTGCTGTACTACTTAGAAAAATGTTTAGCTGAAAACAATTAAAACCAGGCATGAGGGCCACAGGCCCGAGGGCCTAAACCCAAAAGCCTTTTTAAACAGAGGCCAAATCTAATCCACTCGCACACCCAGTTTCGAGCAAAGGCCACATCCAAGTCTCAACCAGATTACCACATCCAAGTCTCAACCAAATTATCTATAAGATAATTTTGCTCCACAAAAAAAAGATCTGAATGAAATGAGTTTCACAGGAATGCCTGTGATAAAGCTAACCAGGAGAAGGAACACCTAGAGCCTGTGCTGTGCTTATGATCTTTATGAAACTCTAGTTGGTTTTATGACAGCATTTTATAAAAAAAGCTTATTTTTACCATGAACTTCTTTATTTGAGGAGTATCAATTAGCAATCCATGCCACGTTCTAAACAATGGAATTGGAAATGCTGTTGTAAGGTGGGTGGTCTGGATTTGAGCTTCTTCCTGCTAATTTGATTCAGGTTAAATATAATTGAGAAAATTCTTCTATTCTGACTTGGTCATGAAATCAGATTATTACTTGTTACACACCATCGAGTCAGAATGGACTCATAGCTGACCCACCAGTGGATTTTTATAGTCAGTAAATTGCATGGCAGGAGATTGCCCATCTTTGTCCTGTAGAGCAGCTGGTGGGCACATCATATGTCTATAGGCTGGCAGTGTAGCTCCTTAGCCTGAAGCTACCAGAACACTCTCACATTATTACCAGGGAGCCTCATATTCATTTGCAGAATGCTTGCAGGCTTGTGATTATATCCTTTAGAGGATTCCCCGCCACCCCCAAATGATCTTGATAGATCTTGGACCCATGTAGAGAAATTTTGGTATTTTTTTGGCTGGCTTTTTTTTTTTTTTTAGCATGGACCCATTCCTCCCTCAAGCTTCATTTTGAAGTTTTATCTGAAAAATCCAAGCAGAAAATACCAAGCCCTGCTTGTTAGTTAGGCAAGCTTGGAGGCTTAACTGACATCCTCCTTTAGAGAGAGAAACAAGCCTAGCTCTTAGAAGAAGTAATGTTTTCAATTATTCCCTCCGTGAGAGATGATGAGTGGTAAACTTCAAAAAGCATACACTAGTTAAAAAAAGTCACACATGTGAGACAAAACATATATTTCCTCTCCACATCACTCAGAACAGTCCATAAATAAGTGAGAGGTAGCCACACATTTTAATGACAAAATGGATGTTGATAATAACACTATTTTGCTGCCCGTGAAAATGTTCCTTTAAGGAGTTTGTCTTTTTTCCACTACATCCTAGAACTTCTCAGTATAAATGATAACATTTCATCCTAACCTGACAACAATTGACTTTCTACACTTTCCTCTTTCTCCGGACAGAGTACTGGAGATTTGGGAGATCTTGTCTTATATAAATCTAGTTACACCACTTTCATATGTCTGGAAGTGACCTAATCCTAAAGATGTGAATTAGCTCATGTTATTATTCCATTTGGTTCAAATATGTAGTGATTAGTTTGTGCATATTTTGTGTTCCCAATAAGAGTTTACTCCACTGAATAACAGGGAAAGAGCCACAAAAGGAAATAAAACCCATTTCCAACCTCCACTACCATGAAATTACTAGATTAGAAGAACAATTTCTTCCCCTCCATATTAAGAATTAAGAGATGTTTCTTTGAAAATGTTCATTTGTTTTAGTTTTTGCTTTTTTTTTTCATTTATTTTAGTTTTTAAAAGCTCTTTTAGGGAGCTCAGGTGGTCTAGTGGCAAGAACCTATGCTGCAGTCCTGAAAGTGTGTAGTTCAAATCCACCAGATGCTCTGCTGGAGAAGGAGGGCAATTTCCTCCTTTGCCAGTCGGATTTGATTCAATGGTACACAAAAAGGGGGGAAAAAAGCTCTTTTAAAAACATTTTCTTTCAGGCAATATAAAATAAGAAGATGCTCAATTATGTTATTGTTGTTGTTGTTATGTGCCATTTAGTCCCCTGCAACTCATAGTTATCCTGTGTACAACAGCCCTAAGCCCTGCTCTATCCTGTACCAATTTTACTGTCTCTGACATATTTACCCCCATTACCCCAAGCATTGAATCAATCCATCTCATTGAGGGTCTTCCTCTCTTGCGCTGTCTCTCCATCCTCCCAAGGATGATGCCCCTCTCCAAGGACTGTTCCTTCCTTGCAACTTATCCAAAGTATGTCAGACAAAGCTTCAGAATCCTTGCCTCCAAGGAGCAGCCTGGTTTAACACTCTCCAGGACAAAATCTGTTCATTCTCTTTGTAGTCTGTGGTATAGCACAAAGACATCAATTCTTCCATCATCCCTAGTCATTGACCAGCTCTCTGATGCATAGCAAATGATTGCAAAGACCGCACCCTGTATCAGGCGCACCTTAGTTGCCAGACTGACATTGTTGTTCTTCAGTACTTTGGAGAGGTCTCTGACAACAGACTTTCCCAATGCAATACGGCTTTTCATTTCCTGGCTGCTGGTGCCAAGAGTATTGATTGTGGAGCCAAGGAAACTAAAGCTGTTTACCATCTCAATCTCTTCACATACATCATGATGTTGCCAATCGACCCAGTGGTGAGCATTTTTGTTTTCTTAGTACATTTTAATTAATGTGATACAACAAAATGTATATGAATGCTTGAAGTTAAGAAAAAAATAAAATAAAATCAATACTAATTTTAAACTTTCACTAAAAAAAAGATATTTACAGCCGTGGCGAGGGGCATCTTTTTCTTTCAAAAGGTTTTAAACATACATGACAGCAGGGAGGAGAGAATAATGAACCCCTAACTATACATCTATCCCCAAGAGTCAGTGCTTGTAAATGTTGTCATCTTTTCTCTCTCTTCCTTTCTTTAATTTTTTGGCTATAGTATTTAGAAACAAGTCCCTAGCATCATCCCACTTCATTTCTAGATACCTATCACTTGTTGTTGTTGATTGCCATCAAGTTGAGCCCAACTCATAGTAATCCTATGAACAAAAAACCTAAAACCTTTCGATGACTATCATTTTTCAAAGTTCATAGAGTTTCCAGAGGCATACTGTTTAAGAAACAAATGCCACTGCTGTTACAGCTCTACAATTTAAGGGTATTTTATTATGTAATACCAAAACCGTTATCTCACCTAATTAAGTTAACAGCACTTTCTTAATATCAGCCAATACCCAGCCCGTATTCATATTCCTCACAGATTCCATTGATTCATAAAAATGTTTCTTTGGCTTGTTTGGGTCAAGATCCAAACAAGATCTACTCAATAGATTTGATTGTTAAAATCTCTTTTGATAGAGAACAGTCTCCTCATTCTTCCAATTTTTTAATGTCTTTGACTTGACAATAAGATGTGCTACATCCTGGCCTGTTGCTTATTTGATGTCATTTAAGTACGTCATGCTTGTTTTTCTTGGGTTTTCTGAAAGCTGCCCATCAGATCTAAAGACCTGATTGGGTATAAGGACCCTGCTCCTTCTCACCTTGACGGTAACATTTAATAGAAGAGAAGAGGAGACTGAAGACTTAACACTGCCTGACACCATGAGGGAAAAACAAAGTTAAAATAGAAACCAACAGAACAAAGCCAAACCTATTGCAGTTGATTCTGTTCTGCCTTATGGCTGTTGTTAGGGGCTGTGACAAGGACTCAGAGAGACCCTATGAACAGCAGACCTGTCCCCTCCACTATCCTGTGCAGTTCTCACCATCGCTGATATATTCATCCTTACTGTTACAGCCACTTTGCCAACCCATCTCACTCAGGGTCTTCCAGACAGAGTCGAACTTCCCTCTAAGGTGTTCAAGGTGATTGGAACGCACCAGCCAGTCTTCAGAGAGAAAGATGGACATTGTTTTCCTGTTAAGATCTGTAGTCCGATACTCACGGAGGGTCACCATGGGGCAGAACCCATTTGATTCCAGGGCATGGAGTAAGTGAGTGAATGAATCTCTCCCAAAGCAAACTGCCCTGTATTTCTCTATACTAGCGACTGGTGGGTTCCAACTGGTGACCTTTTGGTTATCAGGTGAATGTTTAACCGCAGGGTCACCAGGGCCCTTTCACCATGAGATACACATTTCTAATTATCTTACTTTCAATGACTGCATCCATGTAGATGCACATGGTACCAGCTTGACCTTTTCATTGCTCAGGTCGCCAATGGTCTTTGTCTTCAACCTCGATGACTTCAAATCCTTAATGATTTTATTGTTGTTGTTGTTGTTGTTATGTGCTGTTGAGTCGTTTGAGACTCATAGCGACCCTATGTACAACAGCCCTAAACTGTGCTCTAACCTGTGCCAATCTTATTGCCTCTGACACACCCATCCTGATTTCCCCAGTCACTGAATCAATCCACCTCATAGAGGGTCTTCCCCTCCTGTGCTGTCCCTCTACTCTACCCAGCATGATGTCCCTCTCCAAACACCTGTCTCTCCTTACAACATGTTCAAAGTATGTCAGGCGAAGCCCCAGAATCCTTGCCTCCAAGGAGCAGCCTGGTTTAACCCTCTCTATGATGAATCTGTTTGTTTTCTTGGCAGTCCATGGTACATTCAATATTAGCAGTTGCAAAACAGTGATTTCCCCCCCAACTAATTCTTTCATGTTGCCTGGGTGGGTTTAAACACGCAGAAACTGTCTGGGCACTGGTGAAGCGCAGAGTAATGTGACTGGAGGAGAAAACCGCGTGCAGGTCCTCAGGACGGTGCCCGTGAACCTTTCCCTGAACCAAGAGCAGCACCTGGACAGTCCCAAGCGCGAGGCCTACAGTGCCAGCGTCCCCGAGAGCCCAGCGGCTGTGCCCGTGTCCGGCGTCACCGTGGTGAAAACCGAGGAGTTCACGCCAGTCTTCATGGCCCCGCCGATGCACTACTCCCGGGGGGACAGCGACGAGCACCGTGTGGTCATCTACGAGCAGTCTCAGTACGACGTGTCCTCCATAGCTGTGGCGCACAGCACCTATCTCAAGGATGACCAGCGCAGCACCCCGGACAGCACCTACAGCGAGAGCTTCAAAGACGGGCCCGCAGAGGTGAGTCACAGCCTGCAGGGCCTCTAGGCGTCCCCGCTGTTCATCCCCCCTGTTTGCTCTTTAAGCCAGATAAATGAATCAATGAAATGGCAAGGCTAGGATTTGTCTGATTCAATTTTAGAAAAGACTTTGAACAGGCTTGTTTGTACCTTTCTTTATAAACACACTTTAGTAACTTACAGGCCTGTTGTTAGGTCCCATGAGTACGGCTCACAGCTGACTCTGCAGTAAGTTTTCAGAAGCCTTACATCTCATCAGAATTGACAGCCATCTTTCTCCCCCGGAGCAGCTGGTAGATTCGAACCTTGTGCCTTTAGCTTGGCAAGTAGCTCCTTACCAGCTGGCCACCAGAGCTCCTTACAAATCATGGGGATGGAGGTGGGGGTGAGGAGTTCCCTTTTTCCGGACTCTCTATGTGACATATCCGTTTGCTTTGTTTTACTTGTGGCTGGCCTACTAGTAAGATGTTGTGCTGAAATCTCAAAGACACATGGTTCAAATCCACCAGCTGCACTGCGGGAGTAGGGTAGGCAATCTCCTCCCATGCGATTTATAGCCTCTGAAAACCCACTGGAGGGTCAGCTATGAGTCAGTTCCATCTTGATGGCTCATAACAATAAGCTGAAATATTTGTGAGGAATTAAAAGATGTGCCAAAATTCCCTGCAAGAATGTCTTCACCTTGACTTTTTAAAATAACCTCTCGAATAATGCTGAAGTGAAAACATCACCTGTGCAATAGGTATTTTCTACAGTGTGACATTTTAATATAACTCTTCAAACCTTGTGAGATGGACTAGTCAAGAATGAGATTTGAATTATCAGCAATCATGTGTGTTTATACTGCTGGTACCAAGGGTGTTGATTGTTGATCCAAGCAAGATGAAATAAATGACACTGTTAATCCTTTCTCCATCTATTATGATGTTGAATGTTGACCCCGTGGTAAGGACCTTTGTTTTCTTGATGTTAAGATGTAATCCATACCATAAGCTGTGGTTCTTGGTCTTTTGCAGCAAACTTTTCACATTTTCCTCACTTTCAGCAAGCAAGGTTGTATTATCAGCATAACACAGGTTGTTGATGAATCTTCCTCCATTCCTAATGCCACAGTCTTCTTCAGAGACTCAAGCTTCATGAGTTATTTGTTGAGCATACAGAGTGAATAGATATGGAGAAAGAAGACGTCTTTGATACAACTCTCCCTGACTGTAAACCATGTAGCATTTCCAAACTCCATTCTGACAATGGCTACTTGATCTAGGTATAGATTTCTCATGAGCAATTCTGGCTGGAAGGCAATGAGATTCAGGGCTCTACTCAGTTTTATGAAACTGGTATGTTCCCTCTTGCCCGAGGTCATGCTGTTCCATGCTCTAGAATTATTCTGCTTAATTATAATTTATTGTAATGCTATGTTTTTTTCCTTCTTTTTTATTTTATTTTAATAATTTTAATGACCATTTACAAAGATTTTGGATTTCCATTCATTCATTGCTGCACTTCTCTTCCCGGTGATGCTATATTTTTGAGGTTTTTAAGAATAAACTTGAGGACAAGTAATACCCATGTAATACCAATTAACTATGCTATAATTTTTCACAGTTCTTGTCCACATACATTCAAGCCATGTGGGATTTTACATTTCTGTCAGCTTGACTATATGCTTGGCTATGTTTTTTAATCTGAAGACTTAGTGTATCACCTGGAGATTTAAAGCCGTTGACTGTGAGTTCAGATCTTTTAGTGGGCTAGGGTGTTTACAACAAATTCATTTTTTCCATGCCCTAAGAAATGACAGTATTTTTCATGACAAGTTAATTCAAGGTCATGTTGAATTTTTATGAATTACTGGATACAAACAATTACTGGATACAATTACTTCATACAAACACTTTGGAAGTGCATCTCCTTTATTTTTAAGTCAGCAGACTTTTTCCTATACCAGCACTCTCTAATAGGACTCTCTGCAATCATGGGAATATCCAACTCAACAGCAAAGAGAGAGAAAATAAGGCAAACAGGAGCCACATGTGGAAACCGAGCACTTGAAATCTGGTGAGGGGTAGGATATTTCATTCTAATAAAGAATTTAAGTAACACACATGGCTAATGGCTACTATTGTACAGCAAAGATCTAGAGTTTTGAGTTCTTTGTGATCAGGTTAGACCTGTGCCCTTTGCCTCATGGACTTAGCTTGTTTCTTGATTCATGGTGGTCCTTTCTCACTTGGAGTCCATTCACTCATTGTTGTTTCTGTTGTGTGCTGTGGACTTGAAGCCAACCCTCCAGTGGTTTTCATGAACCACATGGGGAGAGATTGCCCATCTTTCTCCCATGGAACAACTAGTGGATTCAAACCATGTGCATTCAGATTCAAAGAGAAACTCCTGACGACTAGGTCACCTGAGCTCCCCCTTCCCCCTTCTCTTTTATACCTAGATCTCTCTAGCTTTCAGAGATCTCAGGAAAGCCTTCAACAATGCTGCTGGTGTTCTGTTGCTGACGGTGCCCACTCTGTGCTTTCTAGTCAGGACACTTGAATAAGTGGGTGAATGATAGAATGACAAAGACTTTCATATTTAATGAGTTGCTTCATTTTTAATAACCAGCTTTTATCTCTTTGAGACCAGGGCAAGGCTATATTCTCTATCATGCTTATTCTATCATTTAATCAGTATTTGTGACATGTTCATGGGATGTATCTGGGTAAACATCAAAGGCAAGAATATCTTATTAGATCAAAAGAATTAAAAAATCTATGGAAAAAATAAAGAGAAAGGGTGTACGTATATACAGATAAACTGTGGTATAAGAGTACACTAAATTCTAGAGATCATGGTTAGGCACTGAGAGGCAAATTTCGAAAAATGGTTCTGATTACTGCTTTCCTGACCGAGGAAAACCTAGAATTGATAGTCAAGGAATGGAAGTTCATGGCAGAAAAATGAGAAGCAGGAAGATTGATTGTTTCCTCCAAAGATACTTCTTTAAAAGTCTCAGTCAAAGGAACATATGGTCAACCAAGACTTTTTTGCCAATATTTTATTATATTTATTTTGGGCTCAATAATTAAGCTGTTTGCATATCTGCTTTTGAAAAGATTCTAAAATATGACAAAATATATTTTATTTGCACTGTATAAACACCAAATGATATTTCCAGGCCAAAATTTCTTTATGTATAATAAGTAGATTTTGTTTCTCAAAAAAATTCACTCTCCAATAATATTGTGACCATGAAGGTTTCTTTATACAAGGATTGATAGTGGTCAAGCTTTTACTAGATAATAATGTTTAACACACACACACACACACACACACACACACTCAAACACACACAACACATACATAGTGCTGACTGGATATCAGACACTGTCTAAAGTACTTCTCCTCTATATCCTCATTTCCTCTTGCCAATATTGATCAGAACTCTGGTGGCTTAGTGATAAGAAGCTATGCTGCAATCCCAAAGGCATGTGGTTCAAGTCTACTGGGTGTTCCATAGAAGAAAGATGGGCAAGCTCCTCTCAATTTCAACTTGATGATACCCAACAATACCTAGGAGCTCCAAGCATCTTACAGATGGAGCATTATGGTACATGCTCCAGCTTACGAAAGTCATAGGCAAAAAGGAAAGAACTTGACCCTAGACAATCTGATTCTAGGACTACCTCTTACTAGTTTACTATACTGTTTTTGTTATTTGACCTCTTTGAATTGTTATTGTTCCATTAATTTAGAATTTGTAACATTTGAGATAAGTGTTGGATGTAAGAGAAAATGAAAAAAAAAAAGTGCTTTTTATTTTTAAGCACACTGTTTCCACTATCTGCAAACATTTGAGAAATACTTGTGAAGATATGAACTCTCCAGAAACTAAACTCATGGTTATCAAGTTGATTGTGGACTCTTAGTGACCCTGGAGGGCAGGATGGAATGGATCATGGGATTGCTGAGACTGTGAATGTCTATGAGAGAAGTTTGACTCGCTATTCTCCTGCAAGGTGGCTGCTGAGTTCCAACCATGGACCTTTTGCTTAGCAGAGCTAATATTAACACACTATACCCACCAGAGGTCCATCTAAGATGTGCAAATAACAAATGGAAGGCAGTCCCCAGCTTAAAATGGGGTTCAGTTTCAGTGATTCCATTATAGATTGATCCTGATGTAAATCCAATTTTTGGGCATCTGTAATGAATGTCTGAGTGCACTAACAACAGCGTTTTATGTGGTGCAGCAGTGTGTGCAGCATATTTTACTATTGAGAGGATGCACAAGAAACACAAGCCAGAGGTCATCAATGCAATTCATCACATTTCAAATGCATTGTCCCCCCTGATGCACTTCTTATTGTGCAGATGATATTCGGATATTTGAGATCTAGGAACAACAGAGAACTATTTTCACTGTAAAAAGTGAAAACACCAAAAGAGAATATTCTTTTTTAAGAGAGAGTAACACATTTGGAAACATTTAACACCTCTTCCCCACCCCATCCCTAACCCCCAAAGAAGTGATTCTTATTTGTTTTAATTTCAATGACTTTTAAACTTTGCAGAAATTTCGGAGTGCTTCAGTTGGGGCTGAGGAGTACATGTATGACCAGACTTCAAGGTAGGTTACCAGAAGCTAAATTTCAAAATGGATTAACTGATAACTGTTCAAATATATCCTAAGTTGTACTTTAAATGCATTTACTATTTGTTTACTTTTATGAAATAATCTGATTTCCTGTGTCTTCAGTTATTCTCTTTCTCTAGATTGGTGTCACCAGTTTTCGGAAGCGTGGTCCTTTTATTCCTTCTTAGTTTTGCTAGACATCTCTTTTTAGGTATATCATTGACTCTCAAACTCACAGGTTTCCAACTCAATGAGTGTGAAATGGAGTTCTGTCTTTCCTCCTTTTTCTCTTTCTCCTGCATTTCCTTCATATTTACACTTTTATTTTCTATTTGGTGAACACAGCAAAGCCATCCCCTCAGTGACCCCAACTCTCAAGTGTAAGGAGCTGTGTGCCTTCCTGTTGTATTTCCACAACATGTGCCAAGTGCTAAATTATGTGTCTGTTCTATTTGTTATCATACTTTTCAGCTTTACACTTATCAATGTTCCCCTGATTTATTGCAATATAACAGATCTCCCTGCCAACAGTTTCCTTCAAGTGACTTCCATGTACCAGCAATGAGATAGGAATTGAGGATAAGATAGAATTGATATTATAGCTCCTCCCTTTATTGGTAGAGGCTGTTAGGCATTGAGAATTAGTCTATAGAGGTGCTATATGTGGAGACAAATTGTAATATATTTAGCCAATTGATAGGTGAGCCCTGATTCAGAGATACATAAACCGGCAACTTAAAAGACAAATAGACCTTTAAGTCAGTGGGTGTGTGAGGGTAGGGGGGTGGCTGGGAGGTGAAATGGGACAGTGCTGTACCAGAAGTAGGTGAGTGGGATCTTGGATTAGCAGGAGTGTCCTAGGAAAAGGATTAAGAGTATTCTAAGTAAAGAGGTCAGATATTCAAAGACCTTGAGTTCTCTTTATGCCTAAACAGAAGAGGTAATGACAAGAAATTATTTTGCCTTTTCTAACTTCAACAATTCCCAATACATTTTTTGTGTTGGTGGCCAATCTCCCTCTCTCTCTGTTCTGGTCCCACTGTGCTTTAGACCTGTTTTCCCACCTTTTTTGTTTTTCTCTATTTTAATTTTTAAAATTTATTTTCTATTGTTTGCTAACAAAGTTCAGATACATTGTGTTTTACGTTATTCTTCATTCACATAGTGTTTCGTACAAGCATTCCCATGCATTATGTTTAATAATGTTAATCACCGTTGGACTATGCCCACCATTACCCTGTCTTTTCAGGTCCCCACCAGATCTTTCCCATTTCCTTTACCCCTTCCCTTCAACCACCAACTTGGGCAACTCTGTGATTTCGTGTTTGTCCGTGCTCACTCCTCTGTCATCTCTGTTCCTACCTGACATCTCCTTATCCTTTGAGGTCTTGCTCCATTTCTGAGGCTTCCCCCTATCATCCTTAAGAAATCTTAAGTGGGACAAGAAGGGAGAATGAAATGAAATAACAGCCTGAAAAATATGGAGCGCATATGATATTTTAATGGTATAAATTTAGATAACTGTGCAATCAGCCACAGAAAAGAGCACTGGTCACCTCTCATGGCTTGGCTTTCCTGTCACTGTCCTGTCAGTGGAGTGACAGAGCGCCCACCTCTCAGCTACTGTTATATGAAGGAGGTGCACGTCAGCGGTTCTTATTCTGGATAGGCTTAGGGGATACAATCCTTTGGAATTGTATTAAAAATTATTTACATTGACATGTATTTTTCTGGGAGAAGGGTTCATCATTCTCTTCACATGTTTAAAATAACCTGTCCTCTGAATCAGTCACAAACCACTTGTCACGGGTGATTTCTAATCCAGATCTCAAATTCCAATCATCCTTCACTGACATTGCCTTTTCACACTGAATGACAATGGAATTGGTTTTGCCTGAAGTGATTGATTTTCTATCTTGTATTAAAAAGCATCATTTTGGAGTCTGCTTAGTTTATTAGTTTGCTGCTGCTGTTGCTGTTGCTGTGTACCATTGAGTCAGAACCGACCCATAGCTGACTCTTCGATGGGTTTTCAGAGGCAATTACTCACTCAAAAGGAGATTGCCCATCCTTCTCCCATGGAGCAGCTGGTGGCCTCGAACCACATGCCTTCAGGATTGCAGCGCAGTTTCTTGCCACTAGGCCACCAAAGCTCCCTAGTTTATTAGTTTAAGCACAAGATTTTTATCATCCAAGAGAAGCATTATCTTGTCCTTCAACATTTTTTTCTAATAAGAGGAAATAAACAAAAACCCACCAAAAATAAGAGTAAGTTACAATTTCACAAGCAGGCCACTGTGAGAAGCAAACTTTGAGAGATGCCTTTATACCTAGCTTTCAGAGACTATGAAATTAAAGAGCTAAAACATTTTATAGTCTCAATGAAGAGTTTCTAGTGGTTCAGAAAATGCACAATATGTTTGTTAATGAATCACTACTATGTGACATCCTTTAATGAAGCAGATATAAATATTTTTAATAAAAAAGACAAATATTTCTTGTTAATATGTTAATTAGAAGAATTTGTCTCATAAATGTAATAATAATTTAAATATGTTATATAGAAAATATAGAAAACTATTTAGAAGGGGATTCTGCAAACTTATTTTGTAACGAGCTAGGTAGTAAATACGTATTGTAAGCTGGATAGTCTCTGTCATAATTTTGTAACTGTAGCATAAAATAAGAAGTCAGAGACAATACAAATAGTGCACAAATGAGTGTAGCTTGTTCCAATAAAATTCATTTACAAAAATTAATAGCAGGCTAGGTTTAGCCCAGAGGTAACTTGAAAATACCTAATTTGGATCAGCCATTTTGCTGCAGTCTTAAACAAACAAACAAACACAGAAGACCCAAAGCACTAGTTAAGGAGCTAGGTTCTAGGTTAAGACTGTTTGATTTGATGTTCTTCATATTTTGAAATATTTGAAAGTGGAACATAACTACTTGTAACATGTAAATTAGATAAAAAAGAAGGCTAAGTACTTTTGTGAAATGAACAGAAGCATTTCATGCAGTTGGTTTGTTGCTAAGAGCAAAAAGGAAATGTTTTAAATTACGCCCCCCCAACTCGCCCCAAATATCCAAAGCACTTTATTGCAGATCAGGGAGCATAGAGAGAAATCTTCTCAAATGCTGCCTTCCCGTCTGGGAGTGGTCATTCATTTTTGTACTTGGGTTATTACTTCTTAAAGCTCCAGCACTGCTCACTTGCCATCTAGGAGTTCACACAGGTTCTTAGGTCCGGCCTTACACAGCAGCCAAGAGCATCAAGGGCTCTTTAGACCATCTGGTTTATGGGCCACTGTTGGGAATGCTGTATACATTGTACTAAAAATGACCTTTGATCTAGTCTCTCATCTGTTTTGCCATATGCTGTGTTTTTGTCTCTAAAAAAACCCAAAAAACAAAAAACAAACCAAAAAAAAAAACCCCAGTGTGAATTTTAGTTAATGTTTATGTAAAATCCTGTTGCTATGAAATTGACTGGCAAGGCAGGAATGTCCAAGTAAGTGAATCTGACCCCTGCTTTTTTTTTGTTCACAGTGGCACGTTTCAGTACACCCTGGAAGCCACCAAGTCTCTCCGTCAGAAGCAGGGGGAGGGCCCCATGACCTACCTCAACAAAGGACAATTCTATGCTATAACCCTCAGTGAAACTGGGGACAACAAGTGCTTCAGACACCCGATCAGCAAAGTCAGGGTATGGGCCCCATTTCTCTAATAAACATGGAAGGACCAGATGAATGGATTGGCTACTTCGCAGCCTTTGTGAAACAATTAAAAAAAATCCAAAATAATTCCAGAGTAAATGTCAGAGGGTTGGAACAAGAAAATGGATTGGCTTGTGGTTTATCAATTTAATCAGTAACCAATAAACCCCAGGGGAGGGCCATACTTGGAACATACTTTCTGACTGTATCCAGGGAAATGTTTATGCTTCAGTCATTGCCTATGTGCAAACTAGTTATTTTTGATGAACTAATAATTCATTTTACAGCTCGTAGCTGTAAGCCTGGTTTCATTGTGGATAGGAAAGAGTCACTGCTCCTTTCTATAAGGAAAGTATCCTTCATTCCATGTTCACGTTTCACAGGCCCTTGGCAACTTGGTTGAAAAGTCTTCTGGAGCCCCATGCTTACTCAGTATTCAAGGGAAGAAGCAGGATCTCTATCAGGAGTGACTTAGAGGAATTTTGAGATTCATGCATGTTAGTCCAATTTGTGGGAAATGAAATTGGAACTTTTGCTCACTGTCCTGGAAGGCTGCCAGCCTCTGGCACTCTCGTTCCTGCCAAGAAGGGAGGGAACTGGTAATCCCTCATTTCTGAAAAGGAAAATTATAGCAGAGCTCTGAAAAGGAGGTTGGAGGAGTCTCCTGGCACACTGTAAAATGATTTATGCTGCTGTGGTCATGGTGCCTTCCTCACCTTACTGTATCCGTAGTTACTTCCCTGTAGGCCTTTCAGAACTCTAGGGGAGGAGCACCATGGTGCGCCCAGGCCACAGGACAGCCCAAGTGGACCCCTAACCACAGATTGCCATGGAAAATCAACAAATGAGAAAGAGCACTCGGTCCTGTCTGCTTGCCTGATGCTAACTTTTTGCAGTAAAATGGAAGCGGGAATCTCTAAATTAGGCTTTCTGGTTTTGTTTGTTTGCTTGAATAAGTTAAAGGATTGCTGCCAATCTCCATGTGCAGCAGGCATGCCTCCTCCCAGGTTGTCACAGATGAGAACTGTTGGGAGTGGGGGGGGGGGGTAAGAGTGTAGGGAAATAAGGAGATGATGTGGGCCAGGTGTCCTGCACCAAGTGAAACCCTCGCAGGTGGAAAGATGCCCAGTGTCGTGTGTGCCCACCAGAGAATTGCTATGTTCCAAGCCCTGTTGTCTCAGGTATCAGGGATGATCTGCAATAATAATAATGATGTTGTGTACCATTGAGTCAGAACTGACCCATAGCTGGCCCTCCAGTGGGTTTTCAGAGGTGGTAATCACATGGGAGGAGATTGCACATCCTTCTCTCACAGAACAGCTGGCAGATTTCAACTGTGTTCTTTCGGGATTGCAGCATAGATTCTTAGCACTAGGCCAACAGAGCTCAAGAAACACAAAATAACAGCTATTGTTTATTATCTTGTAGGCACCAGCCATAAGCCACATTAATTACCATATATGTTGTCACTCATTTGAAAATAATCACTATGTGGAATGTGCACTATTGTCTTTACAGTAACACAGATGAGGAAATGGGCTTTCAGAAGCCAGTCACTGAGAATAGCTAAGGTGTGAGAGAATCAGGATATAGCCCAGGCAAACAGACCCAGAATGCACTCTCTTAATCATTAATGTGTTAGGTAGCATGGAGAGCTGGAAGATGGAAGAATTTATTTTCCTCTTTAATTCCTAGATGCATATCCTAGAATCTATACCCTATACACTAACATCTGTATGCCTGATTAAGAAGATACTGGATAAAGCTTTTTTTTAATTGAAAAGACCATGAAATATTGTACCATCCAAGTAAGAGTGAAAACTTGTAGCATCACCACTATCACCACCCTGAAAAAGTTGTGTCTTCTAAGTCCCAATAACAGTTTGGAATATAGTGACCTTTCAAAAAAGTTCACTTTTGCGTCACCTGTTAACATAAATGAGGAGCCACTTTCTCTTAAAGAGTCTGTGTGAGTTGTAAGTGGCCGATGGGAATCAATTGGGTCTGGTTTAGAGAGTAAGACAATCACTCACAATAGACTCTTCTCACTCCTCAACTCTGGGACAGGAGTCATTGTTTGAAAATATTAATCATTCTTGAAAAGAAGAATGCTCTTAGAATCTACCCATATTTTCTGAAAACAATATTCTAAATTGGAGCATAGAAGACTTGGCAATAGCAGTTTCACGCTGCCATTTTCTTTTTACTGAAGAAATAAATTTGCTCCCAAGAATGCCATTATTTATGTCATATGAGCCATTTGTTACGGAAAAGTAAAACAAAAGAAACTTTAAATGCTGTTTTTATTTTGGAAGAGATAGAAATAAACATAGGAAATATTTTTTTAAAATTTAAATTATGATATATATGTATATAACATAAAATACTTGGCATTTGAACAGCTTTTATATTCAGCAACATTAATTCTGTTCATAGTGTTCTACAGCTGTAAACATTTAAACAGAAAAGTTGGAAGAAGTCAGGAGACAGTGGACACCCGGCTGGACTCCTCATTTTAACAGCACAGTCAATGATTTTCTTCCTTATAGTGAAAAGTCATGCTGCTTATTAATTTGGATAATACAGATATATGCTTGTAAACTAGGTTTTCTTACAGACATCTGCTTTCTTGTGCAATGAGTGTTAACACACATTAGGAGTGAGCCATAGATTGACTTGACAGTCAGCAACAAGAATGTGTGAGCACACACATTGTCCTAGTCTTTGATAAGTTTGAAGTTCAATGGGAAGACATTTCTAGTGACTGAATAGTTGTAACTAAGTAAATGACCACTAGTGTGGGGAGTCCTACAGAGCAGGTGTTCCTAAGGACTGAGAGCCAATGAAATGTTCTTCTGATGTAACAGGAAGGTGTGTGACTAAGAAACGTTTTTAATACTATTCTCCTCTTTCCACTTCAAACATTTAGTTATTAGATCATTAGGCTCTGTCAAGTCAACTCTGACTCATAGCGACTCTGTGAGCAGAAGATCAAAATCCTGCCCTGTCTTGTGCTGTCTTCACATTCTGATATGGTCAAGGCCACTGTTGTAGTCATCGTGTCAGTCTATCTCGTCAAGGCTCTCCCTCTCCATTGACGACCCTTTATTATTCCAAGCATAATGCCCTTCTCCAAGGACTGACCCCTCCTGACAACAAGTCCAGATTTTAAGAGATGAAGTTTTACTCTCTTTTTCTCTAAGGAATATCCTGGTAGTACGTTCTCCAACCAAGTTCTTTCAGCAGTCCATAACACTACAATTTGAAGGCATCATTTCTTCTTCTGTCCTTGTAGTCATATTGTTGTTGTTATGTGCCATTGAGTCGCTTGCGACTCATAGCAACCCTATGTACAAGAGCTCTAAATGCTGTTCTATCCTGTACCAACCTAGCCATCTCAAACACACTTATTCCCACCACTCCAGTCACAGAATACTTTCCCATTATTTCAGAAAAAAAGATTCTATTGGCCCTCATTCCTTAAGAACTTGTTATAACATTTCACATACCATTGGTAAGTAGTCTTCAAACTCATTTCTCATTTCTCCATGATACAATTAGTTTCTCAGGCTGAATTTTAAAGTATACCCACATTTTATTTATATAAATCGCATACTTGGCTATCTGGTTTTTTTGGTATGTGAACTGCCTGTAGTTGAGAGCTATGTTCATCAGGGTGATCTCATCTTTTATTTAGTATTTCCCTCATATTACCACTATTCTAGCCTGAGGTCCTGAATTAGACCAGAAATGAATGCTTGCTCCTTTATAAAAGATGCCAAATTCTGAGTTTAAGGATAGGAAATCTCAAAAATATACCTGCTTAAGTTAAAAAAAATGCACCATTCCCCTCCCCCCATTATCTTACAAGATAACATATTTGCTGGCAGTTCCAGACTCAATTCAATTGTTTATGACTAAAGTATTGTAAAAATGATGCAGGACTCTCTTCTCCTCCATGTTGCACTTAGTTCTCTCCCAGTCTGTAAATTGGTCCATTTTAAAACAATAAACTACAAGGGAGCTTGCCTGGTAGACTTTTCTGAAGCAAGATGAACAATGCTCTAGACCCACACCTCAGGCAGAGCTTCCAGAACTGGAGACTGAGGCAGTCAAGTCAGAACAGAAAGTAAGCTCCATGGTTCTTGCCTCTGCAGAGCGTGGTGATGGTGGTCTTCAGCGAAGACAAGAACCGGGACGAACAGCTGAAGTACTGGAAGTACTGGCACTCCCGCCAGCACACAGCCAAGCAGAGGGTCCTCGACATCGGTAAGCTGTCCCCTGCACCCACCCATCCCAGTCTCTGATGATGTTGTCTCGAGGCCAAAGGGGCCCAGTGCAGTATTCTCCAGGGGCACCCACGTGGCTCATGGTACTTCTTCAGGCTAATCTATGAACTTGTCATGTTAACATATTCAGTGTAGAATATTTGCATAACACATTTACTTAGAGCATGTTTCCATGCTCTCCTGTGTATGAGCTTAGCAGATGGATCAGATGAACTCTCAGCCTTTGTGAGGTGTGTATCCACCTTAGGTACTAGATGATGACCGGTAAACAAGTCACCAGGTACCAAGTGGTCATGTGACCACGAGGTGACAGTCACATGCTTCCTGTTTTCCTGCCAGTTCTTCCCACTACACAATTTAACCCACAGCCAGAAAATGCCGTTTGCAGGAATCTGCCTCAGAAAGCAGCAGAGCTACTTCTAAGTCAGTAATATGCATTTCTAAGTAATTTCCTCATGATATTTAATACTTTTTCATAAGAAATGCATATATATATTTATATTTTAAAAATCAAGTCAGAGCTTACTCACCGCTGACCTTCCCCTGGGTTTTCAGAGGCTGTAAACTACACAGGAGGAGATTGTCCATCCTTCACCCATAGAACAGCTTGTGGACTCAATTCTCCACCCTCCGGGTTGGCAGTGCAACTCCCTATACACTAGACTATTAGGGCTTATAAGAACTCAGTTTTTCTTATAAGAATCAGGTTTCTTTCTTCTCCATGTTACTTTGTTGTAATAAAGCAAAGGTTCCCATCATACTGGGTGTCAGAAGTATTGGGCCATTACAAAGATGTTTGTTTTGATTTCTTAGCCATTGCAATGATGGACTTGTTTAAACTTTCTGCTTCACCCTTGCTAAAATACCTGGAATCAATGGCACAACAGCACTTAGGTTAAGGATTGAGCCTTACACTTTAAATACATTGAAACTAATTACTGATTTATATGGCCACACGGCCAAGCCACTCTTACACACACATACACACACACACACACAGAGAGAGAGAGAGAGAGAGATACAGACAGTGAGTGAGAGAGAGAGATTTCCTCCACACTCTAACTCCCTTCTCTCGCAAGTGACTTGTCCTAGGATAATTAAATGAGGAGTCTGGATAAGGCCAGAGTTCTAGACTTGGGTCAGTTCACTGAATCTCAGAGACATGCTGACTAGGACAAGGGTTTGAGTGATACATGTCTTAACCTGCTTTGTAGTCAATCTACATAGAGCGGAGGAACAATTTTATTTTATTTGAGAATTTAGCCTTATAATTATGTCCCAAGAAAATGAGAGAAGCAATTAAATAGGAACATGGACTGAGTCCAAACAAGGCAAATAATAAAAGGGTTTTACTGGCATACTTGTTGATTCAACTTTGATATCGTTACGAGGTTTATTATTATTATTTTTTTTTTACCAGAGCGATTTCTCAGCTCTTGTAGAACTTCAGCTCTCATCTGCCTTCTTTATCACCTCCTCCCTTTGTTCAGATTCCTCATCCCATAGCTCTATACATGAATGCATGTACTCCCATAGACATACATTTTATCTTTGAGATTTGTGACTTCACTATGTAGCATCCTGTCTGATCGGACTTTGAACTTGAGACCAAGGCATTGAGACCTTAGTTTCAAATAAGCAGTCTGTTCCAAGCATAATCTATATCCGTAATTTCAGCTAGCCACCTGCCAGCTGCTAACACAGGGTGAGGGAATATGGAAAAAACCCAACCCCATAATAATTCTTTATTCTACTCTTCTCCTAGAATAAAATCACGTGTTCCTCTGCTAGACTACAGGGTCACAGAGTTTGGTGGGTGCAGTGAGGGGGTGAAGGCATTAGGATAAATATAGTGGGGGCATGAAAAGATGGATAATAGTGGGCATTGATTAATGGTGATTAATCTTATAAAACACAATGTATGGGGATGATGTCTGAAATAATGTGAGTGAAGCAATATGTGAGACACAATGTATGTACACGAATGAAACAAAATGCATGCGAATTGTACGCAAATCAATATGACATTTTTTTTAAAAAAAGAAGACTGAGCAAAGAGAGCATATGCATTTGGACTGTGCTTAATGGTAGTGACTCTGGAGAGCTGTGTTGAGGTGCTTATGATGCCCCAATTAAGTTGGCGGCTGAGGGTCACCGGTGCCTCTCACGGCAGATGGAGCAGGAAGTGCTGTTTATTTATAGTTTGGATTGAGGACGTTATATAGTGGCCTAACCATAGGGAAGGAGGAGTCCAAAATTATTTCATCTATTGCTCTGGTGGCCTGGTGGTAAGAAGCTGAGCTGCAATCCCAAATGCACGTAGTTCGAACCTGCCAGTTGCTCTGCGGAAGAAGGATGAGCAATCTCCTCTCATGCAATTAACTGCCTCTGAAAAGCTACTGGAGGGTCAGCTATGGGTCAGTTCTGATTCGAGGATCCTTAACAAAAACAATTGCTTTAGCAAGACCTCCAAGAAGCTAGAATGTAAAAGAGGTGCTCAAATTTATAGTTTTCAAATCTTTACCAAACAAACAAACAAAGCAATTCCAAACCAAACCAAGAAACGTGCTGTTGAGTTGATGATTCTGATTTGTATTGACCCTCCCAGAGAGTTGTGAGTCAGTAAATCGTTCCAGGAGACTACTTGTCTTTCTCCTGAAGAGAAGCTGTTGGATTTGAATTGCTGATCCTTCTCTTAGCTGACGTCATGTAACCCTGTGCCACCCAAGCTCCTTTGAGAGCAGAGACTTGGCTGTTTTGTCTCCCATTCAACCTCACAAGCAACTGAATTCCAGACTGGTTAATAGACTCAGTGGAGCCATCCAGGTAGTGACCCTGATCCTTGCATAGTCAGTGGGAGAGTTGGGAGAAGGTTAGGCTTCTAAACTCAGGTCAGTTCACTGCACCTCTGGGACTGGCTGGCTGGGACAAGGGATTGAGGCCAACTTGCTTTAATCTGCCTTGTAGTCAATCTGCATCCGGCAGAGGAATTATTTTATTTTATTTTATTTGAGAAGTTAGGCTTATAATTATGACCCAAGAAAGTTCTGACAGCCTCATCCTACATTCACCATATACTAGGCTATTCCCCTAAAGTAAGATTTTTACTCCCTCACTTTTTCAGTTTCTAAACAACAAAATGATTTAAAGATGAAATTAGAAGTCAAAGGTCAAAATGAAAGAAGGCTCTGTTCGTCAGAGGTCAAAATGAAATTTCCCTCTCTAGGTCAAGTGTAAATTCTTTACTTTTGGTTTCTGTTGATGGTAGGCTTTAGGGCCACCACCTATCTCCTCAGGTTATGCATGGCACAACGCTACGTGCATGGCTGAGTGTCGCTTCTCATCACATTTTCCAGGCCACTTGGGGTAACTAGCCCTTCCTGCTACTCGGGGCCTCAGCAACAGCAAAGCCGATCCAGTTTCACCTCCTGTTATATCTTTCCTTTGTTTGCATCTCCATGACACTTATGCTCAAAGATTATTTCACTGACTTTTATGCCTATAAATAACGATGCCTGGTGAACATTCTTAATGTGTTTCTGCACCGAAACTTCCCCTACTTCAACTGCATTGTCAACTGTTCTTTGAGGCCTGTTCTCCATGCCTCAAAGCTAATCCTCTGTTGCAGCAGGCTGGTTGCCTTATGGAGAGAAGGTCCCTATGTCTCAGGGGAGTCCTGCCTGTGGGGTGTGGGAGCCTGAGGAAGGAGGCTGCTCCTCAGAGACCTTTGAGCCCTGATGCCGCCTGACTTAAGGCGAGTTCCTACAGAGCGTCTCCCACTATCACACCAGGCCTGTTTCTCTGCTGCTTACTGTTCCCTCTATGCACTCTGATCTCTGGACAGGTTTTATACCATCTACCTTCTCACTTCTTCTTTCAGACTGGTGATTTTATCAGCAAGGTGTTAGTTTGTTGTTCGTTTTTTTTTTTTAAATCTTTCTGTATTTATTGACACTTGGTCCAAGCTCTCCTCTGGGAAGACCCTGCCACATGGCAGCACTATGGAGCCCCAGCAGCTCCATGGTCTCACAGAGGTGGCCAGGCAGAGCCACCAGCAACAGCAGTGCAGGAGTGTCTGCCCCGCACTGACCACGACCATTGGTCCTCGGTATCCACTGAAAGTGCTCGCTGACTTTGGGGTAGACACCTGGCTGGTTTGGACGTCCACAGCAAGGTCTTCTTGATCACCTTTCCTGAAGATTTCACCCTCATTATACTCTGTCTCCTTAACTTTATTTCACTCACTTACCACCACCTGATGTGTTCTTTCTTTGTATATGTCTTATTTCTTTTCCCCTTCTGCTAGAAAGCAAATTCCAAGAGATCAGGGACTTTTCTGCTTTGTTCTGTAGCTTGAGACATCATTAGTGTTCAATAAATGTATCCTAATGAATGAATGAATGAGCAAATGCATGAAAGAATGGATACAATTCTTATTTTGCTGGCAGAGTGAGTCTTTTGAAGCAGTAAACTGTCTTAAGAACAGCTACAATGTACTCATTATCCCCCATATTCAGGCATCTTATACACTTTATGTGTCATCATTCTGTCCTCAACTAATTTGGTATTTAGAAAACAGACAGTGAGGGGCTAAGAATCTTATCCAAGATAAGATGCAAGAGACATAGGTAAGGTGGAACTGTCAGAATTTGCATCTCCCATAGTCTTTATTGTTCCATGCTCTCTCTTCACTATATGTTGTCCCCCTAAGTTAGTATTTGGCACCTATGGGCACTTGCATATATTGAATAACTGAAGATAATTGTATCTGGAGAAAATGGGGGGTCTAGATGTAGGATTCTTGACTGAAGTTCTGATGTTTCTGAAAGCCATCTCTGGTGGTTCTTGTGCCCACAGGCAGAAACTTTCTTTCTTTTTTTTTCTTTTTTCTTGCGGGGAACAGGTTAAGAAGGAAATGTTGGCAATTAGACTTGGTGTAACTAAAACAAACACACCCAGGTCCAAGCAGATTCTGCTGCT